TGGCGGGGTCTCTGCCCCAGGGTCGGGGGGGAGGGGCCTGCGGCGGGGTCTCTGCTGGGGTCGGGGGGAGAGGGGCCTGTGGCGGGGTCTCTGCCCCAGGGTCGGGGGGGAGGGGCCTGCGGCGGGGTCTCTGCTGGGGTCGGGGGGAGAGGGGCCTGTGGCGGGGTCTCTGCCCCAGGGTCGGGGGGGAGGGGCCTGCGGCAGGGTCTCTGACTCGCCCCCTCCCTGCCCCAGGAGCTGCTGCAGGAGGAGACGCGGCAGAAGCTGGCGCTGGGCTCGCGGGTGCGGCAGCTGGAGGAGGAGAAGGGCGCCGTGCTGGAGCAGCTGGAGGAGGAGGAGGCTGTGAAGGCCAACTTCAGCCGCCAGATCCAGGCCCTGCAGCAGCAGGTGAGCCCGGCCCGGGGCGCAGGGGGGTGCAGCCAGCACGGAGCTGGCTCCGTGTGCACAGCAGTGGGTGGTGCCGCGGGGGCAGTGTGAGGGTGCAGGGGATGCAGTGGGTGCCAAGTGCTGGCGCAGTGTGAGGGGCACAGTGGGTGCTATGTGAGGGGTGCCAGGGGTGCAGTGTGGGGATGCAGTGAAGGGGACGCAGTGGGTGCCAAGTGCTGGCGCAGTGTGAGGGGCACAGTGGGTGCTATGTGAGGGGTGCCAGGGGTGCAGTGTGGGGATGCAGTGAAGGGGACGCAGTGGGTGCAGAGTACTGGTGCAGTGTGAGGGGCACAGTGGGTGCTATGTGAGGGGTGCCCGGGGTGCAGTGTGGGGATGCAGTGAAGGGGACACAGAGGGTGCACAGCACTGCTGCAGTGTGCTTGGCACGGCAGGTGCAGTGTTTCCTGCCCCGGCCCCCTCTTTCTTCTGTCCTTGCTCGCATCCCAGCATCTCCCAAGGGCAGGGCCATTTGCTGGTTGGGGTGGGGAGTGTGTCCTGGGACTGGCTGCCTCTGGTATGGGGGGCTGTGGGGGCACGTTGAGCCGGCCGGCTCCAGGGTGGGGGGTTCCGGGGGCCCGTGGGACCGGCTGGCTCCGTGGGGGGGCTGTGGGGTCGCGTGCGGCCAGCCTGCTCTGGGGTGGGGGCTGTGGGGGCACATGGGGCTGGCCGGCTCCAGGGTGGGGGGCTCCGGGGGCGCGTGGGGCCAGCCTGCTCTGGGGTGAGGGGATATGGGGGCGCGTGGGGCCGGCCGGCTCCAGGGTGGGGGGCCCCACGCCCCGGCTGATCCCGCTGCCGGCAGGTGGTGGAGGCGCGGCGGAAGTTGGAGGAGGACGCGGGCACGGCGGAGGCGCTGGAGGAGGCCCGGCGCCGGGCGGCCCGGGAGCTGGAGCTGCTGGGGCAGCGCTGGGAGGAGAAGGCGCAGGCGGCCGAGAAGCTGGAGAAGACCCGGGCACGGCTGCAGCAGGAGCTGGACGACGCCAGCCTGGAGCTGGGCCAGCAGCGCCAGGCCGTGGCCAACCTGGAGCGCCGGCAGAAGAAGTTTGACCAGGTGAGGGCGCAGCCCCTTGCCCCCGATCCCTCGCTGCTCCCCACCCCTCCCCGCTGCTCCATACTGCCCCACCCCCCGCTGATCCCCCCCACTGTCCCCACCCTCCACTGCTTTCCCCCCCCATCCTCCTCCCCCCTTCTCCTCCCACATTGATCCCAACCCCCCCCATGCTCCCCTCCATCCACCGACCTCCTCATCCAACAGCCACTGACTTCCCCCTCCCCACGTCCCACCAACCCCACCCAGCAACCCTCCACGGCCACTGATCCTCCCAAATCCTACTCACCCCTCCCCTGACCCTCCCTCCGGCCCCCCAGCCTGGCCAGGGCTCCCCTTCCCCACCCCCCAGCCTGGCCAGGCCCCCCCTGACGCGCTGGCCCCCGGCAGATGCTGGCGGAGGAGAAGCTGGTGTCGGCGCGCCACGCGGAGGAGCGGGACCGGGCCGAGGCCGAAGCCCGGGAGAAGGAGACCAAGGTGCTGTCGCTGACCCGGGCGCTGGAGGAGTCGCTGGAGCTGCGGGAGGAGCTGGACCGGCAGAACAAGCAGCTCCGGGCTGAGCTGGACGACCTGGTCAGCTCCAAGGACGACGTCGGCAAGAACGTAAGGAGCCCCGCCCGGACGCCTGGGTTCCGCCCCCACCTCGGCGTGGGGAGGGAGGCCTGGGCTGGGAGCCAGGATTCCTGGGTTCTCTCCCCAGCTCTGGGAGGGGTATGGGGTCTAACACAGCTGTATGTACCTGGGAGGGCCATGGCATGGTGCATTCTGGGAGCCCTGGTGTGGTGCACGTTGGGAGTCCTGGGCCGTGCCCCCGGGAGGGCCGTGGCGCGGTGCATGCTGGGAGCCCTGGTGCGGTGCATGCTGGGAGCTCTGGGCCGTGCCTCCGGGAGGGCCGTGGTGCGGTGTATGCTGGGAGTCGTGGTGTGGTGCATGCTGGGAGCTCTGGGCCGTGCCCCCGGGAGGGCCGTGGTGCGGTGCATGCTGGGAGCCCTGGTGTGGTGTATGCTGAGAGTCCTGGTGTGGTGCATGCTGGGAACCCTGGGCCGTGCCCCCGGGAGGGCCGTGGTGCGGTGCATGCTGGGAGCCCTGGTGTGGTGTATGCTGAGAGTCCTGGTGTGGTGCATGCTGGGAACCCTGGGCCGTGCCCCTGGGAGGGCCATGGCCCGGTGCATGCTGGGGACGGCGGCGCGGTGCATGCTGGGAGCCCTGGTGCGGTGCATGCTGGGAGCTCTGGGCCGTGCCCCCGGGAGGGCCGTGGCGTGGTGCATGCTGGGGACGGCGGCGTGGTGCATGCTGGGGGCCCTGGTGCGATGAATGCTGGGGGCCCTGGTGCGGTGCATGCTGGGAGCTCTGGGCTGTGCCCCCACGGACGGGCGTGTGGTGCGGTGCATGCTGGGAGCCCTGGGCTGTGCCCCCAGGAGGGCCGTGGTGCGGTGCCTGCTGGTGATGCTGGCTCAGTGCACACTGGGAACCCTGGTCCGTGCCCTCCCGCAGGTGCACGAGCTGGAGCGGTCGAAGCTGCGCCCGCATCTCCT